AAGAGAAGAATCATGATTAGGGAAATATAATAGATGTCTTCAAGGATTTGAAGGACAGAAGATATATTAGATTTTTTTGTTTGATTCCAAATGACAAAATCAGGTGATGGATGAAATTTATAAAGGGATTCATTTAGACAAATTAAGGAAAAATTTCCTAATAATGAGAATCAATCAAGAACAGAATGGATTTCCTTTGGAGGTAATAGATCTGCCTCATTCAATACAATCAAGTCAAAAATAGAAGATTACTTTGGGAACATAATATAGGGGGAATTGTTTTCAGGTGTGAATTGGCTGTGATGTACACTGAAATTTCTTCCACTTTTGAAATTCTGTGATTATCATTTCAGTCAAAACCTATCTTGTATTTTAAATGTGTCACTTTTCACTCATGGCATTAAAGGGTAGTCAAGTTTAGGCATTTAAACATCAACTTCCTCAGTAGACCCTCATGAAATCCCAACTTTCTTTCTTTCTACTTTTTCATAGACTAGAATGGAATCTTGAAAGTTGTAAGAGAATTCAGAGATCATCTTTTACAATTCCTACCTAAAGTGTAAATCCCTCCTACAGTGATGACAGGTGATTCAAACTACTAATATCTATAGTGGTGGGGAATTCACTGCCTTCAAAAGCAACTAATATTTTTGGTTCCAGCTAGACTTGAAGAAGTAGAGAGAAGAACAGGGAGAGCCAAAGGGCCTGGAGCAAAAAAAAAAAAAGAGTTATATTTGAATAATAATGGTAGACTATGCCGCCAAATATTATATCATCATATCATCCTGATGACTATATACTGAGAACACTGATAAACTAGTGGGCATTGAGAAGAGTATAAGCAATTACGAAGCATGACCTTTTAAAATCAGTTGAAGGAACTAGTGAACTATTCTGGAGATGATTCAGTGAGGGCACAAATGTATTCTTCATACACTTAAGGCACAGTTTTACAGAAGAATTAATTTTTTTTTTTTGGTCCCAGAAGGCAGGACAAGAAACAATGGTTAGAATATACAAGTAGGTCAATTTAGGCTTACATGTAAGGAAAAAAATGTTCTAAAACATGGAACTATGCAAAAGTGGAATGGACTTCCTAAGGAAGTAGTTATTTCTCTCTTACTTCAGGTCTTCATGTAAAGGCTGGATAACCACTTGTTGGGTCTTTAGTAGAGGGGATTCATGTTCAGAGATATCAGTCTACATGAGGCCCCTGCATTTCCTTCCAACTCAGAGATTCTGTGACATCCCATGGTGTCCCAAGGTGTCTAGTAGAATGGAATTCCCCTGAGGTTAAAGACAGCTTTGTTTTTGCCTTTTTATGCACAGCACCTGACACAGTACTGAATGCATATTAAGTACTCACTTAAAAGATATTCATTGGATTGAATTGAATCGAATGAGATTGTCAGTCCACACAATAATGTGAGCAGTAGCACATTATTGAATTAAGAGCCAAGAGAATTGGGTTCTAATCCTGCCTTCAATACTAATATGTTACCTGAGATATGGATCATGTAGTGAAAATAGTATCCACTTCTCTGAGCTTCACTTCCCCCTTCTGTAGAACTGGGGTAATAATACTTGAGGTTATCTTCCTTCATGCGTTATGTGGAAGGCATTCTGTCAACTGTACCATGATAAACATCCTTCTGGAATGCAGGTGTATACGCTGGTGTAAGAGAACTTTCTCCAATTCTCCAGTCTGAATTCTTCTCAGATCCCACAAGGATCTTCCTTTCCCAAGGCTGATGGGCCAAGGCCCATATAGGCCCTTAGCTACTGGGGGGAATGTGACAGTTTAGTTGGTTTCAATGAGCAAAGTGTCAGTTACTGTGCTAAGATGAAGGACCACCATCTCCCCTGACACTGGGCCCTAAGGACCATTAGGCCTTATCATCTGACCTGCAACTATGCCCTCTAGACATGCTCTAGCTGACCATTTCCTTATGTGCTGTCTTCTTCAATCAGAATATAAGTGCTTTGACAGAAGGGATTATTCCATTTTTCTATTTGTATTCTCAGAGTTTACCACAGTGCTTGACCCACAGTAAACACTTAATAAATGTTTCTATTTCATTCCAAACCACACAGAAATGTGAGTTATTCTTAAACAAGTCAGTCACATGAGTGTTGCCATCTTTTAAACAGTCTCTGCCATCTAGTACTCAGTATATGACTGGAACTGTCTTTGGTTACAGAGGTTGTAGCATATTGTTTTCATTCTTTCATTTGTGGGAAATCTTCATCCTTTGTTTCCAGAAGAAGGAAATGCACTATAATGGAAGGAGCATTAGACCTAGGACCAAGATATTTTGTATGATTCCCAGGCGTGCTATGTATATGTGGACAAGTCATTGCATTTATCTGGCCTTGGTCGGTTCACCTGTAAAACCAACTGGATGAACTAGATTAGAAGTCATAGACCCACCTTTGGTAATCCAGTGAAGCTTATGGATCCCCTTTCAGAATGATTTTAATGTTTTTTTTAATTAAAAATAAAATACACAGGATTACAAAGGAGATCAAGTTAATTTTTACCTATTGAAGTTCATAGATCCCCTGAAATGTATCCACGGATAGTTGGTTAAGACCCCCAAAACCAGGTTAGGGACTCCTGGACTGTATGATTTCTCAAATTCCTTCTCAAAATGGCCCAAACAAGGCCATTGTGTTATCATTTTTGAAGCTAGGCCAAAAATAAGTGTATGGGTGCCCAACTATGGAAATGTATTTTTCTTCAATATCAGGTCATACTATAAAGGTTAATAAGACTTATTTCTTATGTATCTCACCATTTGGGTCTCAAGACCCAAAGTAATCATCATTGGCCTTAATGAATAAGTACATATCTTTCCCTTGCAGAACTAATTACCAAGGGGACTAGTTTAAAAAGGAAAAATCATTTAGATATATAAACTGTAGTCTGTTAAAAAGATCAGTATTATGTGGTACAGCATTGCAAAAGAATGAAAAGAGCAGAAATCTGATAATCAGGAGAACTTCATTTTAATCCTGGCTCTACAACTAACTCATGGTATGACAGATTGACTTCCCATACCTGAACCCCAATTTCTGCATCTGTATAATAAGAACATTGGACTAGATAATCCTTACTGTCTCTTTCAGCTCTAGCATTCTATGTTCTATTTTCAAGCATGTTGGAAGATCCCTTCCAACTCTAAAATTAAATTATTCTTGTGTCTTATTCACAGTAAGTACTTAAATGTTTATTGAATAATAATCCTCACAGTGTGAATATGTCCAGGTGAAAAGTAGGAATATATAGCGCTGGACTTTAGGCCTCCAGAGTTTGGACAAGTCACTGTCACCTTTTTTTTGGTTCTCAGTTTTTTCATCTCTAAAATGAAAGTGTTGAACTACTGTTATTCAGTAATTTTTCAGTCATGTCTGACTCTTCATGACCCCATTTGGCTTTTTCTTGACAAAGATATTGGAGCTCATTTTAGAGATGAGGAAACTGGGCCAGATTTGAACTCAGGAAGGAGAGTCATTCTGACTCTAGGCTTGGATACACTGCACTAACTAGCTGCCCTGGGTGCTGCACTTGATAAACTATACATTTACTCTGAAAGTTAAATCCTATTGTTTTATCATCTAATGAGTTTCCAGAATCAATGAGAACCTGAGTGAATTGTGCACAGGAGTATCAACAACAACAACAAAAAAAATTGATTCAGTTTCTTTTAGTCAGTCAAAAAAAATTAAATACAGGTCATCTTACGTCTCCTCCTCCAGAACAATTCTGAAAATTTCCAGCAAATAGTTTCAAAGATCTGTAGCTGTGTAGACAGGTTGTTTCATCTGTCCTATAATTTGATCAATAGTAACTCCAATTACTATCAGTAAAACTAATCTCTATTTTCACTAACAGTACACACTGAAAACAAAACAGTATTAGAAGATATTTTTCTCTCTCTGTCTCCCTCTCTCTCTTCCACACACACACACATGTATGTGTGTAGATAGATAGATAGATAGATGATAGATAGATAGATAGATAGATAGATAGATAGATATGTACATACATACTCATCTCTAAGTCCAAATTTTTGACCACTAAGAGATTAAGTTGACTTGTACATGTTAACAGGGGCTGGCCTTGAACCTAGGTCTTCCTGAGCACAAATTTCACCTTTTAGACACTATGAAATGCTCCCTTTCTAAAGAAGAAACTAGATTTTTATCTTGGCAGATATTTGGTTCATACATTTTCTATATCAATAGTATAGGTTTCTTTCTCTATTTCTATCTCTCTTAGTTTCCCAGTCTCTATCTGTTACACATATATCTGCATACACACCTACATACATACACAGTTAAAGGATCAAATATAAAATATAGCTCATACCTTTTCCCCAAATGGATGTTTGGTTAAAATTTTAGGATAGCCTACAGTCAAGGTTGGTTTTCTAACAAGATGTTCATTCTCTCTCTCTCTCTCTCTCTCTCTCTCTCTCTCTCTCTCTCTCTCTCTCTCTCTCTCTCTCTCTTTCTCTCTCTCTTTATCACATGCACTCATAGTTTGTTTTTTTCCCTTTTCAAGAGATCTCATTTTAAAGATAGGACCCATATTCATGGAAAGTCTACTTCAAATTAACATATATAAAATCATGAGATTTAGTACAGACAGTAACATTAAGCCCTAATTAGGCTATCTCTGTCATATTACGTATGAGGAAACAGAGGTCTAGAGAGGTGAATTGATTTTCTGAACCAGTTCTGCTGATGGTCACAATTGTCATAACCATCAAGGCCAAGATTCAAAATCAATCTTGCTTCAAATCCAGGGCTTCTTCCATTTTTATCAAATTAGAATATATACACATACATGTCTCCTGTATATGTATAGTATAGATACATTTATATATTTATACATATATGCATATGAGCACACATGTTGGTGTGTGTGTGTATATATATATGTATATATATATATATATATATATATATATATATAAAATTATCTGTGTGTATGAATATAAAATATTTATATATATACTACAAAGTCTTTCCAAATGAGACTATCTTGAGTTCCTAGAAGTCTGACAATATACACACTTTTATAAGATTAGCATGTATTTTCTACATGACAGTAATATAAACTCATAAATCAGTTGGGCTTTATAACAACGTCTTTACAACAGAGACAGCTACCCCAGTGAAAAAGAGGCACTGGGGGATCTCAAATCATTGCATTGCTGAACTATTTATTATTGCCAGTATTTTTATCAGTTGGTTTAGGCAGCACATTGGATATTTTTTTTTTTAAAAAATCTGGTTATTTAAATGGACAATATTTGTTGGATTCATCTTGGCTTTATAGCCAATGGCTCTGAGGGCCTTCAAATGATCACACATTGACACATATCACAGAGAGGTTCATAGACATGCAATGGTAAGACTGATGTGCTCATGGGAATGGATGCATTTGGCCAAGATGGGGACATTCTTATAAATTGTGAGCCTTTCTCCTGGGTGAACATGCATCAAAAAATACATAGTGCTGGACATTCAGAGAGATGTATGACTCCATAGGCCCTCATAGGTATCATTTTCTTCTAAAAAGAAAGAAAGCCAGAGATTGTACATTATCACTAGGGAGATGACTGCTTGTAATCAGCTTTTAGACAATATGGAGCCAGGAGTTGATTCAAAGGAACTTTGCTCTAGTTCTGGCTCTAGCACTTTTTATCTGTGCATACTTGGATGAGTCACTAACCTTTATTGGGCCTCAGTTTCTTCATCTCTCAAATCAAAGGACTGGAACACATGCTCCTGAAGGTTTTTTTTTTAAATATATTAACATTCTAAATTCTAAGGACCCTTTAATCTGTAGCAATCTATATAGTCAGGTCCTTTTCAGTTTTAACATTCTATTTTCTATTGTTACTTCAATCTCTAAACATTCTATGATTCTATGATTTATTTTTTGGTAACAACTTACTACTATGGGCTTAATGGAACACAAGTCAGAGGGAAGAATCATCTCTAAGCTAAAACAATGTCCCCGAGTTTTATAGTATAGGTACTTGGAGCCCAGTCTCACTGAATTTTTCTTGAAGGTGTTTCCACTTTTAATGAAAGGGATTCTTTCAGGGTAAGAGCATGAAGCCTTTGGTCTCCATAGGCTTCCATAAGAAATGTTCTCTGTCATGGGCTTTTAATCACTTCCACTTAATTCGATTTTAAAGCCATACATTTAGCCAGCATTCAGTATTCTCAGTTCTTTGCTGGGAGAAAGACCAAACCAATGATGTTTGAAATTTCCTTTCTTGTTGAAATGACCCCTGTCCTCAAAGTCTTTTTGAGCTGGCAAGTAGCTTACAGCTATTCCAGTCAAAAGTCCTTATTTGAAAGCTGAGGAAGCTAAAGCTCATAGAAGCTGAGTGACTTGCCTATGATTATCCAGCTAATAAGTAGTAGAATTGAGACTTGAATCTGGGTCTCCTGAGACCCAGCACATTGCTGTCTGCTCTGAACTCATTTTGTCACTTTGCCATCTCTTTATCTGTTGTCCTCTGAGTTTTTAGCATTTTTCTGAAGGCAAGATGACACTGTAGGGTATGCTCACTGTAATTGGGTTAAGATTTCAATTCTTCATCCCTCAATTTGGATGATTTTATTTCTTTATAAAGGAGGAATAGTTGGCCATTTTAATGGTCTTCCCTGTTTTTTTTTTCACTTCTCCCCAGTAGCATTAGGTGGTAAGTTGGCATTTCTTTGGATGACTACAATAGTGCCATCAAACCAATGTATAGTAGGCTCTACTTCGAGTATAGTGATTCCAATTTCCTATAAGTAAATATCCCTGACTGAAAACAAAGATGTAAACATCACCAATAACAAAAGTATGATGTAGACCGCAACTTAAGTAGGGATCCAGAAAAAAGGTACCTGGACCAACTGGCCCTAATATACTCTTCATGGGTATTTTTATTTGCAGGATACCTAGGATCAGTGATGAACTACCTTACTCCCTCCCCTCCCTCATGTTCCCACCCCCACCAAAAGAAAAAAAATTTTTTTTAAGAATACCCCTTTAACCATGTATGAAAAGGAATGATGGAATGGAAATCACATTTTTTTTTTAAACAGAGATGGCACAAAAGAATTTATAAAGGATTCTTTGCACATAAATAATCTCCAGTTCTACACACACAAAAAGAGGTTTTAACCTGAGTTCTGAAATGTTTCTATGAACTTATGTCAACTGACAAACACTCAAGCTGGTAATGCTTTGGACAAATTGAGTTAAACAGGGGAGGAAGCCATTGTTCTATGCTATTAAGATTATGACACTGGTCCCACCACCTCTCTCCCAACACTTGTTTATTTTTCTTCTTATTCTTGTGAAGTATTTGGAATGAGACTACAATTTGGTAAATGATGGTTTGCTTGGCTTTCCTAAACCGACATAGGAGCAGCTTCAATATCTGTAACCATCCCAGTATGGCCTCCTCCTTTCCGCTTTCCACCTAAAATGCAAATAGGGCTCCTATTTCAATGTTTAGCATGGGCCTCCTGTCTAAAAAGCTGTATGTTTCAGCTAAGGGTCTGGATGATACTGAAAAAAGTGCACTGGTTGCTTTTTGGGGTATTACACAGGGCCCTAATTGAGTCCCCTAAAGCCATTATTTGAAGTAGTTGAGTCCTGTGACCAGGAAAAATTTCTCCAGGAAGAGTTCAGAATCCAGCACAGCTATGTGGGCAGCTCGGCCGATGAGGGCATTGGCAGTGTTGGGCAGAGCATGGAACACGTTGTGTCGAATTACAGTGCAATCCTTGGCCTCAACCAGAGGTTGGAGAAGGTTGTTGATCATCTCAACATAAACTGGGCCTGAAAATTAGGTAGAAGAAGAGTCATTCACAATACAGCAGTAACTGCTTAATAATTTTCTACTTGTACTAAAAGTGCTTCATTCAGCTTTTAACATAGGTGAAATCAGTAACTCTTGAACAGGAGCTCTTAAAACTTTTTGTGTAATGGACTCCTTTGGCCTACACACCTATTTAACGATTCTTTTTTAATGCACCAGGAAATAGGATTACAAAGGAAATCATATTAAAATATAGTTACCAAACATATAGATTGTATGTATGTAGTTGTAGTTTATATCCCCTGCTCTAGAATTGTAAGTTCTACAAAGCATGTTTCTTTTTAAATATTTTTAAAATTTTTTGATTTTTATTTTCAATTCCAAAATATCTCCTTCTTTCTGCCCCATCTGCCACCCATAGAGATGTCAAGAAGTATGGTACATATGAAATCATGCAAAATATTTTCACATTAGCCACATTGGGGGGGGAGGAATAATATGCTTCAATCTGTGCTCAGAGTACATCAGTTCTCTCTCTGGAGGTGGATAGAATTTCTCATCATGACTCCTTTGGTATTGTTGTGGATCATTGTATTTATCAAAGCAGCTAAGTCTTTCACCATTGAGTATCTTTATAATATTGCTGTTTCTGTGTACAATGTTCTCCTAGTTCTGCTCACTTTTCTTACAAAGTACATTACTCACAACTACCCTACCTTGAAGGTGGGATGGTAAAGTAGAGTTATGATTATTTTAGAAATGAGGGAAGCTCAGGCTTAGACAGGTAAAGAGACATTATATATATATATATATATATATATATATATATATATATATATATATATATATATATATATATATATATATATATATTAACTTCACATAGCTATTGAACTCAGGAATCAGGACTTGAATCCAAGCATTTTAACTTTAAGATTACTGCTTCTCCTAATATACCACACAACTTTACATATCCCTATTAAATTCTGTACACATGTCAGATTCTGTTGATAGCTGGGTGATACAAGGGATAGCCATCGGAATTTGATTGGCTGTCATTATGTTTCAAGAAGGTAGAGTGAACAGCTAGTCAAACATGATATAACAAAACCTTAGCCTAGAATAAGAGAATAAAAGAGGCAATATAGTATAGTAGATAGACAGCCAGCTTTTGATTCAGGAGGTTAGCCCTGATGTTGGAGCTGCAAGACCTGTGTTCAAGTACAATTCTATCATCTACTAGCTATGAGATCTTGGCTCAAGAGGCAATGTGATACAGTGGAAGAACCCCTTAACCTCCCTTAGTCTCAGTTTCTGTTCAGTAAAATGTGTGGTTAAAATAGATGGACCAACTACTGGAATCTTCCAGATCTAAATCTAAAATTAAATGATCCTGAGTCACTAGAACTCCCTAAAACTTAGTTTCTGCATGTATAAAATGAAAAGAACACTTTCCCTGGACCAGATTTCCCTTTGGAATTGCAAAGTTCTTTTTAATAACTTCAAGTTTCTCCCTGAAACAAAGACCCATCCTTTTAGTACAACATTCTATTTTTATTGGTGTGTGGCTGCAAATCATGGAATGCCATGATTTCTGAAGAACTGAAATCGACAATCATACAAAAGGCAATGTAGAGATGGATGGTAGGATTGAGTAAGGTGGAACACATACTGATCAACAGATGATGAAGGAGAAATGGACCGAAGGATGTTATCAAAAAGATGTAATAGTGGGGAAAAAAAAGATGGATTGTGCCCATGAGAAGAGGGAGAGGGATAACTATGGTGTGGGACCCATGTTCAATCTTCATGAACTTAGAAGGAAGCGTAGAAGGACCCCAGTATGTTGGGTAGTCTCCCAGCGATGAAATCATAGGTGAACATGGACAAGAGATTCACAGTATATCAACGAATGGATAGGTTGTAATCTGCATTACTAAAGGCAATATCCACATTTATGAAATTCTAAATACATTTGAATAATACTTTCCCTACTAAGTAAGTTCTTTTGGGGGATCAAATGGGTAAATAGATATGAAATTATCTTATCAAGAAGCAGTATAAAAATATGGAGTATTCTTATTCTAACACCACAGACACATTGAATTCAGACACAATGGGCCCACTCCTTCAATCAATCTATAAACCAAACACCAAGCACTCGTGAAACATCTACTAAGTGTCTAGAATTACACTAGACTCCTTTAAAAGTTATGATGGAACAAGTCAATGGCCAGGTTCAAAATGGTAAGGAGTATCAGTTTGAAAGAGAGCAATTTGGTCCATTTGTCATTTCTTAAGAAAGGAGTTCATAAAGCAAAATTCTATATTACTGCTGAAGAGGCATCTCATTGAGAGATAACCTAATGTAGTAGAAATACACTGAAATTGAAATTAGAGAACTTGAGTTCAAATCCCAGTTCTTCATCTAATTAACCTGATAACTTAAAATTGCCACTAGACTTCCTGGGCCCATGATTTTGTCATCTTCAAAATGAGGGGATTGTATTATATAACCTTATGATCTATACTTCAACACTCAAATGGACCCATGATCTAACTAATAACTGTGTATTCCTTCATATTTGCTCATTCCACAAGATTCTTGTCTAAGAGTCCTTAATCCAACATGACTGAGGTCTTTCCTTGGTTCTCCCACTATTTTGTAGATGTCAGGATAACACTCAGAATGCTCATTAGTTATTTTTTCTTACTGCATGGCTGGCTAGTTTTTTTCTTCTCTGCTTGTATGTCTTAGATGCAAGTCAATATTAGAAAGTCAGCTCATTGCAAATAGGGATTGTGTATTCTTTATGTTTCAATCCCAGTGCCTGGCACAGTGCTTAACTCATAGTAGGCACTTAATAAATGCTTCCTTCTATGACTGATGAAACATTGTTTGTTGCAGATTAAACCATTCTCATACAGTTTTCCATTGTTCTTTGATCCACCTACAGACCTGATCCTCTTGAGATTTTTGGCATTCAGTAATTAACATAAATGCTAAATGCTACTTTTTTAAGCAAATAAAAAATCAAAGAGCATTAGTGGATAAAGCTGCCTATTTTACATATCTATTGCAAAAATTCATCATTTATTACCTTACATAATAAGGCTTTGCTTGTGTGGTCAACTGGAGGTTCCAGGGCAAGCAACTGGAATCATTTTTATTTAACATACTCTTGCACTCAAAACAAGCAAGGTCTGACAATATTGTAGGATATAACCTACCTGTATGCCTGTCCTTGAGGGCCATTTTACACATTTCAATCCTTGCTGAATGAAATGGCACGTACCGGTCTTGAGGAGAAGCAACCAACACAACATTTTTAAAGTACTGAAGGCCTAGAACAAAGAGGAGGAAATATACTTTCTTTTTTACAAGGAAGGAATAAAAAATTCACATACTGTTCATTTTCTGGATTATAAAGACAGAGTAGGCATTATTAAATGCTTGTTGCTCATCTAAGGATCTGATGCCTCTATACCATGACAATGGCAGAATTGTAACCTGGGGAATTTGTGTGATGTTATTACCACATATGAGGTGCTTGGACTTTAGGGAAAAAAAAGCCCTCACTGGTCCCTGAGTTATTCACAGTATCTTGATGGGGAAGGTACTCAGAAGTCTGAAGGGTCAGAGGTGTCCACTATCACAGAAGCAGTCCTCAAATATCAGGGCCCATTTTGTACCTCACACCCTGAAGAGGCTTCTTGTATTCCCATGGCAAAAGGAAGGTCACACCTCTTGTGTCTTTCAGAATTCCCGTACCCACTGCACCTCTGGAAAACATGTTTTTCTAGAGTGTTGACTTGTACATTATGCTAAGATATGACCCAAGGGACCAAATTCAATTTCAAAAGTATCTACTGAATGTCTATTGCATAGCATATGTTGTTTCAAGTACCAGGAGAGATGCTACTACTAAGTTGTGTTCATTATCATGTTAGTTTAAAGGCAGTAAAGGAATAAAGATACCGGTGTAAATAACTGCACTTACCTAATGCTAAAACTAATACTAATAGTTGGCATTTACATAGCACCTACTGTTTGCCAGGTACGGTAATAAGAGCTATTTATAAAACTTCATTTTATACTTACAATAACCCTGGAAGGTTGGTGCTATTATTACCCCATTTTACAATGAGGAAACTAAGGCAGAGATTAAGAGACTTGTACAGGGTCACACAGGTAGAAAGTGTCTAAGGCCAGATTTGAACTCAGGGCTTCCTGACTCTAGGCTCAGAATCCTATCCATTGAGCCTCCTAGCTGCCTCATACAAAATAAAACTTGATGAAAAAAATAAAATAAAAGATAACATACCCTTAGAGAGGTACAGCACAACCATATATTTTGTGAGGTCTGGGGTCTATGATTATTGAGGAGTAGAATCAGGGAAGACTTCATGGAGGACTTGATGTTGGATAGTAGTTATTTTTTTCTGTTATTCTACTTTATAAGAAGATGGTTTCAATCCTGGCCATTTCCATTATAGCCATCTCTTTGCAAACTACTTTTGTATGCCACTATATTCTCTGAACCAGAGACCTCACGAATTGGGACTTAAAACATCTCAACTATGGAACTGTCCATCTGGAGACCTTGCTATCCAGAGCCTTGCTTTGCATTCCAATCCAGCCATCTTCTTCCTGCATTCTTACTTGTCACCATACACGGACTCAATATCCTGACCTCAACACATATACACTTTCTAGCTCTGGAAAGTAATCAATTTAATATGGTCACTGCTACTGCATGTAACATGTCAAGAAATTCCCCTATGGCTCCACTCACCACCCCTGGGACTTCTCAAACCTAAACATTAGTTTAGCAGTTGTTTCGCCTGTCTACCACTCCCCTCTAAGTGTATCTCACTCCATTGGAATATAAACTTCTTGAGCGTCTCTTTCTTTTTTTAAATGTTTGTCATTAATACTTAGCAAGTACTTGTTAAATGAGATATTTTTAAAGTGTTTAGCACAATGTCTAAAACCTAGCAGGCACTTAATAAATTCTTGTTCCTTTTCCCTATTACGTAGGGCTTATTCAATGCTTTTTCATTCATTCATTTTTTTTAATCCATTGGACCATTAGGACCACTTCTTATTTACTTTTTTTTATTTTTATGCCTTATTATTATTATTTTTCTTTTTTCAATATCACTGCCTTTTTGCATTGACTCTTCTCCCTTACTCCCATATATCCCAGCCTTTACCAGAAACAAAGATGATCAAGCAAAACAAATGAGCACATTGGTCATGTGTGAATTTCCACACGTCTATTCCATTTTTTCTCTAATGAGAAGCAAGAAACATGCTTCATTTGGTTTCACTTCCATGGCCTCAGCTTCCTTCTAATTCTCCTCCCCAGACATGTATAACAGAGCAGCCCACCTGTTTTTTGGCTCAGTTGGTACAGGAAACATTTGCGCAGATCTGTGTTGTCCCTGAAGGTCAGCTGCAAAAGGGACCCAGATTTCTTCAGCTTTTGCATTAGCCACAAACCTAGTAAAACAGAAACAGGGTCAAGAATCCATTTCTTTGCATTCTGTATGGTCTTCCCCACAACATAAGGGTTGAGGGACACTGGAAATGCCACTTTATATTCAGAGGTCATTATCTTGCTCTGCAGGAGTAGAAATGGAAAGCTTGCTAGGTTCATAAATCTAGAGTTGGAAAGGACTCATTCAATCCAACCTTCTCTTTCTCAAGATGAGGGAGTTGAAGTACAGAGTGGTTGAGTGCAGGGATATGTAAGGACAGGGAAGTAATAAGTTTCAAAGGTAAGATTTTTATACTAACTCCTCTGATTGTTGAACTAGTGTTCTTTTGATTTTGAATTTGCTAATAAATGTCTGAGGCAGGCTTTGAAACTCAGGTTTTCTGGATCCCAGCCCAACCCACTATTTACTATACCACTGAGCTCTCCCCAACCTTGGCCAAATCTTCTAACCTCTCAAGAGTTTGATTTACATAGACGTGAAACTGCAATATCTACCCTCCATATCCTCTTACAGGGCTCAAATAAGATAGCAAATGTGATAAAAATCATAGGAAAAAATATGCAAAAACACTTTGCAGACATTATAGTGTTATACAAATACCAGTTATTAGAGCAATTGTGAGAAAAGGGGTAACACCCTCAGACAACCATAGCATTTTTTTAAAGAATTTCAAAGCCTCTTCCAAGCAACAATCGTGAATGGTAAATAGTACACATGTTATCATATCCATTTTATAGATGAAGAAATCGGGGAGGTGGAGGGGGGGAAGGGTTAGCAGTTTTAAGTAATCGTCCATTGTTATGCAGCTTATTCTTTCATCTATAAAATGGAGATAATAATAGCACCTACCTCCAAGGTTGTTGTAAACATCAAATAAGATGATATTTGTAAAGTGCTTTGCAAACCTTAAAGGCCTATATAAATGCCATCCATTATTTTATTTATTTATTTACCCATTTGTTTGTTTGTTTATTAAGAATTCTAGGCAGGAAATTAATCCAGACTTCCTGAGTCCAAGTCTTCCTCTAATATCTCATCATGGCACATGGAAGTAGCTGGGTGCTTGTGAAGTCTACTTCAAGGGAATAAGAGAATTGGCAGGCCCTTACAGACAGGAGATGGAGTCGGTACTGAATTCAAAAGGGATATGGCTAAGTAAAGGTTTACCTGTACTAACAAGAGTACTATTGTTGTACAGTGTCCCCAAGTGCGGCCCAGAGAGAGAGAGAAAGGTATGTAGCTTGTTGAGGTAATACCGAAAACGAGGCCGAGTCAATACTGATCGGATGATGATGTTGCCAAGGGAATGGCCAATGAAGCTGTTTGGAAAAACCAAAGGATATGACTCCATTAGACTGTGATCTCCTTAGGATGCAGTATGTGTCACATCTACCCACGTATGCCTAGCACCTATCACAGTGCCATAAACATAGTAGATGTTTAGTAAATGTTGAAATGAATCTTATTCAATAAATATGCATGTCAGTATCAGCACCTCTCAGGCTACCCAACAATCAGCGAAAAATAAATACTATCTAAGTCATCTTTTCCTTATTTCTTCCCCTGGAGTGTGTTTTTACCTGATTCGAGAAATAGACAGATTATACAATTGGATATGCTGAATGATCTCATCTAGCAATCGGTCTGTCATTGTGTCAAAGTCAGCAAAAGTGTCACTCTGAAAGAAGAGAAAGCACAGAAGGGACTTATGAAGTTACAACAATGAACCATGACCCCAGACCATAAATTTCTTCTGTGATTGTCTAATCACATCATGGTATACTGTGGATAGGGTTCTAGAATGGAAGTAGGAAAATCTGGATAAAGCTACTTGTCTACCACTTACTACCACTTTGTGATCCTGGCCAAGTAATGCCACCTCTATGAGACTCAGGCACTTCATCTCTAAAATGGGAAAGTGGGAATAATCATATTTATATTCTGTGCCTCATATGGGTATGAGTGGACTGGAAATATTTTACTGGAGAAAAAATGGGGGTGTGATATGAGAGATAGGAGACATCCTTCCAAGTATTTGAGGGGCTGTCTATTGAAAGCAGGATTAAACATGTTCTTAGATTGAAAGGGCCAAATAAAAAATCACAATTAGAAGTTACAAAGGCTCAAATATAGGCTTGATTTAAGGTACAGGCAAGGGGATATGTATGTGTGTGTACACACGTGTATATACATACACACGTATATATAGATGTATATTTTATGTTTCCTTTTTATATATGAATGTATATATGTATGTATATACACATGTATATATGTTTTATGTGTTTCTTTTTTATATATAAATATATATATATATATATATATATATATATATGCATGTATATATATAGATACATACATATTTCCTGTCTCTCCATTCTACATGACTGGGGAGAAAAATTGGAAAACAGATGAGGAAGCCATGGAAATAAGACCAATTAAACGTGAAGTGGTGGAACAGAGGTGTAGAATTGGACATGTATATTCAGACATGACCAATGTACTCCTTTGTTTTGCTTAATTATCCTTGTTTTCTACAACGGTTGGGTTATATGGGAGTTAGGGGGAGGAGTCAGTGCAAAACAACAGCGATATTAAAAAAAATATACACACATGCACACCACACCACACACACACACACACACACACACACACACATATATATATATGTATGTATACATACTACATAATTTATATACTATCCAAAAATGGGATTCCCTAGTAGTTTGTGGCTCACTAGATGTCTTCAAGTAAACATTAGTTGGACATTATACAGGAGAGTCCATGTTTGCATGTGAGAAACAGGTTGGGAGGTTCTATGGCTCCTTCCTGAGGTTCTGTGATTCTCTGATCATTCAATGCAGCCCCCTCATATTATGGTGAGGAAACAGAATATACATAATTTGCCCAAATCACATAGGCAGACAAGAGAGGGACCCAGATTTGAGCCCAAGTCATCTGACTATAAATCCATTGCTCTTTCCACACCTAGGTGTTACAACTTTTTTTTTAAGCTTACACAAAATTACTGACATTTGCAGCAGAATGAAATGATTATTTAACCTCTAGAATCACCAGTTAATCATCTTGTTTAAAGATGTGGGTTTGTTGCTCCAATGGGAATCAGAATCAATTTCCAACCTAAGTAGATATGCGAGAAATTATCATCAAGTACGGATGCAGACACTGTTGGAAAATATACCTCTAGCAATGAATGCTTTCATGAGTCAACATGCCTTGCTAATGTCAGCCCACTCAAAGGATTCCCCACTAGGGACGATTCACTCAGTGCTCTTCAAGATGAACAGATGCAGGAGGCAGATGTAATTTATAAGGTTTCTGCTGTGGGATAATAGAATCACAGAATCTCAGAGTTGGAAGGGGCCTCAAGGTTGGGTCCAAACCATACCTGAACAAAAACCCTCCTCAAGTGGTCATCCAACTTCTATTTGAAGTTCTCTAGTCAGGGGGAACACATTACCTTCCCAAATAGCCCACTGTATTTGTTACTTTCCCCCTGCATCAAGGCCAGATTTGACTCTTTTCCTCTCTTTTCTACTGCTACTGGTTCTGTGCTCTCACGCCAAGCAGAAAATAGTCTAGTCTTTTCCCACATTACAGCCCTGAATATATGTAAAGAGAATGATCATGACCCTACCCCTATTTTCCCCTAAGTCTATCCTCCAGGCTGGAGATCCAATGTCCCATCAGCTAGTGCTCATAGGTCATCATCTCATTCATCACTAAGTATAATGGCGATGAACCTGTAGTTTATGACATTTAAGAACCGAAGAAAATAGGAATATTTAGCTTTAATTCCTGCCTTCACTATCTTCTTACACCTTACATCACTACCCCCCACCCCAGCCCCTCACACACACTCACACACTGCAGTCCAGTGACACTGGCTTCCTTGTTGTTCCTTGAACAAGACATTCCATCTTTTAGCTCTGGGCATTTTCACTGACTGTCCTTCAAGCATGGAATGCTCTCCTACTTCTTTTTTTAGTTCCAGTGCTTTCCCTCTTGTAATTATTTCCTATTTATCTGATATATAGCTTGCTTTGTATATATTTGTTTGCATGCTGTCTCCCTGTTAGGTTGTTAGATTGCAAACTCCTTGAGGACAGAGTCCATCTTTTGCCTCTTTTTGTATCCCCAGCAATCAGTAAAGTGCCTGGAACACAGGAGGTCCTTATTGCTTTTTGATTGCTTTGTCTCTGCTTCCTCATTTTCCTGGCTTCCTTCAAGTCCTAGCTAAAATCCCACCTTCTGTAGGAAACTTTTTTTTTAATCTCTGTTAATTTTTGTGTCTTTCATCTGATGACTATTTTGTTTATCCTGTTCATTGCCTGCTTGTTACATAGCTGTTTCCATGTTATCTCCATTAGACTCTGAGCACCTTGAAGGCAAGAATTGTCTTCTACCCTTCATTTCCCCAGAGCTTTGGACAGTGCCTGGCACATAGTAGGCACTTAATTATTGTTATTGTTGCTTGTCCTTTATTCTTAAAGAGGGCCATGTCCTCCGTAAGGTGATGCCCTGACTTGCAAGTGAATTGAATTTAAGTGAGAAAGGGCTGTGCACAGTCATCAGAAACAATTACTATTTACATTCACTCTGAGATATGAGGGTCAACTAAGTGGGGCTTGGACCGGGACCTATTGTTAGTCAATCAATGAGAGCCAGGGTGAATTGGGTTTAAGGCATGGTCCTTAAAAAATTAGAATTGAACAAATGGAAGTTAATGACTTTATGAGAAATCAAGAAACAATAAAAGAAAACCAAAAGAATGAAAAAATATAAGACAATAGCCACTGGGGGGTTGCCACCAGACGTGTCAACCCAGTTCTGCAGATGTAGTCAGTCCAGCACCCAACACACCCACAAGAACAAAATTAGCCTGTGATGCACAAGTTACCACATTAATGATCTCAATTCTAGTGTTCTTCTTCTGTGGATTATTTCTCATTTATGCTGTATACAGCATGTTTATGCATAGTTGTTTCCCTATTATCTCTCCCATTAGACTGTGAGGGTCTTTAGAGAAGGGACTGACTTGTTTTCTTTGTATTCCCAAGTGCTTAGCACAGTGCCTGGTGAATAACACGTACTTAATAAATGTTACTGACTGATATGTTCAGCTATCTGGTGCTTCCTTTGAACGCACTACTAACGACAGATTCCATACCCATCTCTGGCCCATGGCTGTAGCAAAAGCCTCAGGTCCTTGACATTCCTACTTTATATAATGGACAGAATGATATTTGTACTACCTTTCTCTCAAGAGAGACCCAAAGGAAAATATCAAGTTTCTCTATCTTAAAATGCTATAGAAATGTTAGCTGTAAATTGCTTATGTTATCTCCAATTCATCCTGTCCATACTGCGTTATATGTATTTGTTTGCACGTTGCCTTCCCCATTAGATGCTGAGCTTTTTGAGAGCTGGGATTCACTTTTGTCTTTCTTTGTACCCCCAGGACTTAGCACCGAGCCTGTCAAGTAACTTCTTAACAAACACTTGTTGTCTGACTGAAAGGCTGACTAATCATTCTCTTCTTCATATTATCATTCTGACCATCCTACCTGATTCCTCTCAGACATCAAGAAGTCCAATTTTCCTCCAGGAAGGCCCAGTTCAATAAATGTCTTTACCAGGCGGAGATCTGCGCTGTTACCTGGAAAGGATATATGTCCCCAGATCCCATAAATAAATTTCAAAAAAAGAAAAGCAAGTTGTTTTTCTTTATAGTTCTTCAATTTTAAATTAAAAAAAAATAAAGGTCTATTCATTAAACATATAAGGCACCTGAAAAATGGATAGCAGGAACAACATGTATTTAAGAATGTTCTCATACTGTGCCTCACCATGACCTCCTAGTCCTGACACTATTCTTCTTTGTTATCTACCTCAAATGTATTAAAAGTATTTAATGCTTTTGCTGAATATGAATGTGCAAAGTGCTAAAAAATGCAAGAAATTATTTTTTTTCTCTGAGCTATTCTGGGCCAATGGGGTGTTTGGCATGGAGAACTGTGTGACTCACTGTCTCTTTCTGGACACTTCCAATTCTAAGCAGCAGCAGGTCATATCCCTTTGGCCTTTTGCAGTTCACAAAGTGTTTTTTTCCCCCCCTCAGCACCCCAGTTTCTACCTTAGTGGAAGTATTATCACTATTTACAGAATTGGAAACTGAAGCTCCAGAACTGAATATTTTTGTATTTGATTTGAGCTTAATTTTTGTCTGTTCCCAGGGTTTCAAGAGATCATTGAAAATGTCCCCAGAACATTCATAGAAATTTATAACTTGACAGGATTCCATTGGTCTTACTGGTACATACCTATAATCCTTATTATTGTGGATGCTAAGACTGGGGGATCTCAAGATCTAGAGTTCTTTACTGCAGTAGGGCTAAGCTGATCTAGTGTCTGCAAAAAGTTTAGCATTAATATGGTGATTCTCCAGGAGGGGAGAAGGTGGTAGCAGGTCACCAGGTTGCCGAAGGAGAGGCAAACTAGCCCAGGATTGAAACTGAATAGGTCCAAGTTCCAGAGCTTATCAGAGTAGGACTGGCTCTGAGAGTAGTTTCTATGCTTCCAACCTGGATAAAATAGGGTGCCCCAGTCTTTAAAAAGAGAAAGACAATAGAGCAGAGAGATGAGAGGAGGGAGGGAGGGAGGGAGGGATGCATGCGCGCGCGCACACACACACACACACACACACACACACACACACACAGAGATAGAAACAAAGAGATAGAGAAGAGAGTGATAGATATAGAGACACAGAGAGAGGAGACAAAGAGACAGAAAGAGAGACCAAGTCAGAGATAGTGAAACACAGACAAAGAGACTGAGACAGAGAGAGAGAGAGAGAGATGGATATGAGAGAAGAAGAGAGGACAGAAGAGAAGGGAGAGGAAGGGATTGGTGGGGAGAAGAAGGGAGGGGGCAACATAGAGGAGGAGACAAAGAAAGAGACATAAACAGACACAGGAGACAGAGAAAGGGAGAATAGGAGATAAAGAGAGAGTTAGTTCCAGGCTCTAATTTTACAAGTAAGTAAAATGAAGCCCAGAGAAACAGTACGATTTTGCCAAAGCCACATTATAAAGGTGATATAATGATATAAAAATCTTTAAGTGAATAAGGAAAAAATTATCCTTGGACATTCCTTTTCCAAAGTTCCTTTTCTCAAGCAAATCATCAGTTGACACTTTGTCTGATGGCTAAGCTCTGTTTTTCATGCTTGGAGTTCCCTTTGTATTCGTGTCCTTGGGTGTCTATAGTACTAAGATGGGAGGCAGTATTGGATCATGGAAAGAACTCCAGGGGTGGAGAAGAAATCCAATCCTAAATCTTGACACTAATTAGCTGTATGACCTGGGACAAACACCTTGTCTCTCAGGGCCACAGTTTCCTCCTCTGTAAAATATTTTAATAAATGCTACTCATTTTACCTAGTTTATGGGGCAGTTTTGAGGAAAATGCTTTCTAAATTGTAAATCTCTACCTTAATCTGGATTGTGATCATTAAGAACTATGACAAGTGTTTTTCTTCAGACCTTACCATCCAGCCCATGGACACAGATAACCAGATGAATCCCTTCTTCCAAGTTCTCTTCCTCTTCCTCTGGTGGAAAATACGGCAAGTCAGAAGCTAGTACAGACAAGTCACTGTACAGACACTCTTCGTTCTTCAGCTCTTTTTTAAATTTCTCTTTGGCCTGATAAAAACTGGAGAATATATTAATTAATCATAAGCCAAGCTATGTGTGTGGAATTAAATTGGAAAATATGGGCTGGTTATGCCATAGAAGAAACGAACTTCTGTTAAGCAGCATTTTGAGGGTGGGGCAGAGAGAGAAGGTGCGTGCTTTGTATGAAAAAACAAAGAAAATAATGTAATGGTAAGTACTTCTCTCAATCAAGGCCTAATTCAATAAGGATCAATTACATGATTACCATATATGCATCCTTAAACTGGGTTCTGAAGAAATAAAGCAAACTGAAGAAGGCAGAACTTATGGCCTCATGGAGCTTAAAATCCAGGTGGAAAATATTACACATAAACACATATAATACAAAATAGTATGTAGCAAGGCGATATGAGAGTCACTATTGTAGAGTGGAGAGAGAGCTAGTTTAGGAGTCAGGAAGACCTAGGTGCAAGTTTTGACCATGAACCTGGAAAATCACATAACCTCTCAGTGTGCCCAGGCAATCCTCTAAGACTATAAATTATAGATATATGTTGGTAGAAGGAATTTTATTACTCAAAATTTCCTCATGCGATGAAATAAAAAACCTATTCCTTCCTGCCCATGTGCCACTCTTCAAAAGGTATAAGGTGTGTATTTATATGCATGTATGAATGTATGCATATATTTGTATATATATACATACACATGCACACGCATGTATGTTTGTGATGTATATTATATACATTAGTCTGAATAGATGTGTGTGTGTATATATATATTATATATATATATATATATACATACACACAAGTATACATACTTCCATACATATATACATGCATAAACAGTCTAAGGAGGAAATGGTTATTACATTATTATTAAAAGATCATTACTGATTAAAGGGGGGGGAAATCAAGGAATACTTTTTTGGAGAAGATAAATATTTGAACTGAACAGTAAAGGAAGGGTAGTATTTCAATAGGTGAAGTTAGTTCAGTACTGAAGTTTGAGGGATGTGGGGTAATAGTGAATGGACCAGTTTGGCTGGTTAGAAAGGTAGAGGAAAAACTGGGAAGAAAAATAAGGGATGCAAGCCAATCATGAAAAATAAATCAACAGCTTGGTAAAGGAGACAGAAAAAAATAATGAAGAAAACAATACCTTAAAAATCAGGCTTGGCTAAATGGTAAAAGAGGTGCAGTAAGCTAATGAAGAGAAGAATGCCTTAAAAAGCAGAACTGGTCAAATGGAAAAAAGAGGCACAAAAATTCATTGAAGAAAAAAAAACTTCCTTAAAAAGTAGAATTGGACAAATGGAAAAGGAAATACAAAAGCTCACTGAAGAAAATATTTCCTTAAAAATTAGAATGGAACAAATGAAAGCTAATGACTTTATGATAAATCAAGAAACAATAAAACAAAAACAAAAGAATGAAAAAAATAGAAGACAATGTGAAATATCTCACTGCAAAAACAACTGACCTGGAAAATAGATCCAGGAGAGATAATTTAAAGATTATTGGACTACCTGAAAGTCATGACCAAAAAAGTGGCCTAGATATCAGCTTTCAAGAAATTATCAAGGAAAACTGCCCTGATATTCTAGAACCAGGGAGTAAAATAGAAATTGAATGAATCCACCAATCACCTCCTGAAAGAGATCCTAAAATGAAAACTCCAAGGAATATTATAGTCAAATTCCAGAACTCCCAGGTGAAGGAGAGACTATTGTAAGCAGCCAGAAAGAAACAATTCAAGTATGGTAGATCCACAGTCAGGCTGACACAGACTTTAGCAGCTTCTACATTAAAGCACAGGAGGGCTTGGAATGTGATATTCCAAAAGGCAAAGGAGCTAGCATTACAAACAAGAACCATCTACCCAGCAAAACTGAATATAATCCTTCAGGGAGAAAAATGGAAATTCAATGAAATAGAGGACTTTTAAGCATTCTTGATGAAAAGACCAAACCTGAATAGAAAATTTGACTTTCAAACACAAGGCTCAAGAGAAGCAAAAAAAGGTAAACAAGAAAGGGAAATCATAAGGGACTTAATAAGGTTAAACTGTTTATATTCTTACATGGGAAGATGATACTTTTAACTCAAAAGAACTTTCTCATTATTAGGGCAGTTAGAAAGAGTATATATAGATAGAGAGCACATGTGTGAGTTGAATATGAATGGATAATATCTAAAAAAATAAAATTAAAGGGTGAGACAGGAATGTACTGGGAGAAAGTGAAAGAGAGAAGTAGAATGGGGTAAATTATCTCACATAAAAGAGGCAAGAAAAAGTTTTTATACTGGAGGCGAAAAGGCAGGAGGTAAGCATTAGAAATTGGCCCAAAGAGGGAACAGCATGCTCACTTAATTGAGTACAAAATCTATCTTACCCTACAGGAAAGAGAAGAGAAGAGGAGGGAGGTGATAGAAGGGAGGCCAGATTGGGGAAGGGGGTAGTCAGAAGCAAAACACTTTTTGGAAGGACAGGGTGAAAGAAGAGAGAGAGAGAATAGAATAAAAGGGGGGCACATAAGATGGAGGGAAATAGAGTTAGCAATAGTAATTGTGAAAAAAAATGAAGCAAGTTTCTCTGATAAAAGACTCATTTTTTAAACATATAGAGAACTGACTCAAATTTATAAAAAATAAGAGCCATTCCCCAACTGATAAATGATCAAAAGATTTGAACAGTTTTCAGATGAAGTAATCAAAGCTAACTGTAGCCATATGAAAAAATGTTCTAATTCACTATTGATCAGAGAAATGCATATTAAAACAATTCTGAGGTACCATCTCAAACATATTAGAATGGCTGTTAGGACAGAAAAGGAAAATGACAAATGCTGGAGGGGATATGGGAAAAAATGAGACATTAATATACTGTTGGTAGAGTTGTGAACTGATTCAAGCATTCTGTAGAGCAATTTGGAATTATGCCCAAAGGGCTACAAAACCCTGCATATCCTTTGACCTAGCAATACCATTACTAGGTCTGTATCCCAAAAAGAAATTAAAAAAACAAACATAAACAAACAAAAACAATGGAAAGTATCTATACAAACAAAATTATTTATAGTAGCTCTTTTCTGAGGGCAAAGAATGGGAAATTGAGGGGATATACATCAATTGGGGAATGGCTGAACAAATTATGGTATGTGATTACGATAGAATACTGTTGTGCTATAAGAAATGATGAGCAAGAGGCTCTCAGAAAACCTGGAAAGACCTATGTGAGTTGATGCAAAGTGAAACATACTATAAGATGATCTGCTGTGAATAATTTAGCTGTTTTCAGCAATACAATGATCCAAGACAACTCTGAAGGACTTATGGTAAAAAATGCTATCCATCTCCAGAGAAAAAACTGATGAATTGAATCTGAATACAGATTGAAGCATACTTTCCTTACTTGCTTTATTTTTCATGAGAATTGTTTGGGGTTTTTTTTTTGGGGGGGAGGTCTGTTTTCTTTTACAACATAACAAATATGGAAATGTTTTGCATGATTACACATGTATAACCTATACCAAACCACTTGCCTTCTCAATGGTGGGGGAGAAGGGAGTTGGGGAGATAATTTGGTACTCAGAATTTGAAAGCTGCATGTTAAAAACTGTTTTCACATATAACTAGGAGACAATACCAAGGAATTTAAAAAAAAAAGAAAAGATAATACATTTCAACGTGGTATTGTTGAATTTTTAATGGTAGTTAGATATCCAGGTGTAGGGACAGATACCTAGCTGGCAGCTTGTTCTGTCGTATTGGAGCATGGCAAAAAATAGTCAGGCAGGGCTGTAGCTACAGATTTGAGCTTCATCCAGAGGGAGTCAATAGCTATAATTGTGGAATTGAATGGGATTATGAGAAGAGAGAGTTTAGAAAGGAAAGGAGAATAAACAAATGTTTATGCTATATAAATAGCACCCACTATGTGCCATTCACTGTGCTAAGTGCTATTGTTTTTTAAACAAATATTACCTCATTTCAAGCTTACAATCGTTTTGTGAGGTAGGTGGTATTATTATCTACATTTCATGTTTTAGGAAACTGAGGCAAAGAGCCTTTAAGTGACTTGCCCAGTATCACACAGCTCATTATTGTCTGAGGCTGGTTCTGAACTCATCTTCCTGACTCCTTGCTCAGAATTATATGTCTATTGCACCACCTGCTATCTACAGAAAGACACGAAGGATTGGATCCTGAGGAATGTGAACTTTGGGGAGTGGAGAAAAGGAGGAATAGCTAGGAAAGAATACAGAGAAAATGAGGCAAAGCAGAGGAAACTGTGCCTCAGAATCAACCAAGTATATATTAGGTGATAGGGGCAGGGCCCAAGCCAAGATCTTCACCCTTTGCCCCAAAGGGAATCTGACTCACAGGCCCCAGACCCTCATCTCCCTTGAAAGCCCTAGCTTACCTTTAGATCTGATTCAGATGCACCTTCAACCCTTGCCCTGAATAGAATCTGGCTCCTGTTTGCCTACAGGACCCAGAAAAACCCTTAAACCTTCAAATTTCCTAATCGACTCCCCTCATGTCCCTTTCAAAGCCTTAGGCTCCCTCTTGTCTATAGGCCCCAGAAAGGCCTTCCTTTATCTCCTTTTGAAAGTCCTAGCCCCACCTTGATTTTGTGCAGATGCCTTTCAAACTTCTGCCTTCCTGTTCCCTCCATTATCTATTTCCATTGTCTATTCAATCTCTCTGACCTCCTCAATTAGAATTCTTACCTAGACCCTTTCCCCAACTCCCTTCTCTGGCCACCCAAAGTTACTTTAGTATTTAAGATCCACCTTGGCCCTCATTCAGATGCTGAGAATCTCAGGCCCACAAGGCTGAGAACCTCTCATGCCCGCTCGTCTTTACAGGCGTCACCTGGTCAATGTGATTTATCACTAATAAACTTTTCCTCTGGCTGAAGAAGATTTGAGTTGAATTCATTCAGCAGGGCCCCATCCTCGGGGCAGCTAGGTGTCGCAGTGGATAGAGCACTGGTCTTGAAGTCAGGAGGACCTGAGTTCAAATATGGCCTCAGACACATAACACTTACTAGCTGTGTGACTCTGGGCAAGTCACTTAACCCCAATTGCCTCACCAAAACCCCCCCAAAAAAAACAAAACTATGATTTTAAGACTATGGATATAAATAGGTCTAGAGGTTTTGGGGTGCTGGAGCCCCAAGATCATGACACGGGCCCTGCTGGAATGAATTCAACTCAAATCTTCTTCCAGCTAGAGAAAAAAGTTTATTAGAGATAAATCATATAGGCCAGGTGATGCCCATAAGGACTAGAGCGCATGAAAAAAGCTCAGCCTTTGGGGCATGAGAGAGTCTCAGCATTTGAATGGGGGCCAGGGCGGATCTTATATTCACCAAAGTAACTTTGGGTGGCCAGAGGAGGGGGCTGGAAAAAGGGTCTAGGTAGGAATTCGGATTGGAAGGCCTGAGAGATTGAATAGACAATGGGGATAGATAATGAAGGGAACTGGAAGGTAGAATTTTGAAAGGCATCTGCATAAGATCAAAAGGTGGGGCTAGGGCTTTCAAAGGGAGATAAGGGGAGTGTTGGGTTTCTATGGATTTTATTCTAATTTATATTTGGATTGCTGTATCTGTTTTAATAATATGAATTAATCAGTATTTATTGTTAATACCATCTGCAAAGCATTGTTCTAGGTGCCAGGAATATAAGAATGAAACAAGTACCAGTCCCTGATATGAAGGATTACATTCTGCTGGAGGTGAGGAATGGGCACATAAAATATAAGCAGGTAAATCTATCTAATCTATCTATCTATCTATCTGATAATCTAAGAAATAAGGTGGGTTTTTTTTATCATTCAATTGTTTCTGTCATGTCCCACTCTTTATGATCCCATTTGGGGTTTTCTTGGCGAAGAAAATGGAGTGGTATGCCATTTCCTTCTTCAGTTTATTTTCCAGAGGAGAAAACTGAGGCAAACATGTTAAAGTGACTTGCCCAGGGTCACACAGTATGTGTCTGAGGTCAGATACGAAGTTGGGAAGATCCAGCACTCCACCCACTCTTCCACCTAGCTGCCTCATGAACTTAGTAGGTATCTAAAAGATATCTGTTGGATTTATTCTATCATATGGAATAAAGGACCTGGTCTTGAAAAATACCTCCCTTTTAAAATAAGAATCTTGAAACAGATCCAAACTTTATCTCTTCTTGAAATTTCTTTAGCTGGATAGCTAATGAACCAATATAAATAAATAAATAAATTCATCTTGATGTGAATTGGTAATGAATAATTCAACAAACTATTCTGTTTGAAAAGTGCTTCATATTTCATGGAAACAAACACAACTAAAATGGAAAATAACTAGGGCCTTCTTGCATTCCAAGCAAACTGGGATTAGGAAAACCTGAATCTTCAATAGTCTGAATTCTAAAGGAGTTTTTTCTTCCTTCTCTCTCATTCTTTTTTTTTTTTTCCCCCAAGGCATTAAGTGACTTGCCCAGAGTCACACACAGCTGGTAAGTGTCAAGTTTCTGGTCTAAGAGCAGATTTGAACTCTGGTCTTCTTGACTCCAGGGCTGGTGCTCTATCCACTGAGCCACCTAGCTACCTCTCTTCACTCTTATTCTTGAGGGCCAGGTTATGGCCAAGGAGTGGATATCCGGCCACTGGATTTCTGCTCAATAAGGCCAATGTAAAGTCGACCACGATGAATGCCATCTGTGCATTAATACATTGTCACTAAATAACACTAATATGATAGGTGTAAATATGGCTGACCCCTAGAGTCACAAATTGCCTTACATACTTAGCCATTCAGAAAAGAGCTGATGGCTAGGCCCATGGAAATGACAGGAAATCAGACAATTCTTGCCCATCTGTTTGTTGCCACAGGCTGCTCACCAGAGCCTCTGCACCGGGAAAGATTGAGTAGCTAGACACCTTTCACTGCTTATTCCTCCGGGGGAGAGCAGTGAGCTGAAAGGAGGTGTGGCTGTGGTTTTTCCTTAGTTCTCAAAGAGGACCATGACATCAGGGAGATGATGACAGGACTTGAAATTGACTGACTTGACTAAGGGAGGGCTGTGCAAAGTCACCAGCTTCACTTCCTCCTCCAAAGCCATCTGGGTCCAGTGGCCAAATATCAATCAGGAAGACTAGAGATGGCCCAGGATGCAATCGGAGACCTTGGCCTTTTAAACTGAGGTCTTTTCAGGTTGAATAATCCTCTTTAAAAAGTGAATCAAGGGATGGCCCCTTTAATCAAAAAGAAAAAAAAAAACAAACTGGGAGGGGAAGACCCTCAGGGTGTCTGGCCAAAAGAGAAACAGTTACTATTTACATTCACTCTGAGCCTGGAGGGCCCAAAACATAACCATTAAGTGGTGCTTGGGCAGTTGTTCAATCCACTGGATCCAGAGTGAATTGGGTTTCAGGCTTGGTCTTCCAGAAAGAAATCTAGCCAGTAAATCCCAAATTAACTTTCTGCTCACAAAATGTACCTTCCCTTGGGCAGAATACCCTCAGGTAAGGGAGAGGAGAGAGGAGAAGAGAAGAATGTGATGTGCTTTGTTCAGGGAAATGGCACAGCTTAAAGAAAATCTCCTTCCCTTCAGGCTAATCAACTCATCCTACCGGTAGATGCATTTGGGAGCTCTCCCCTCCTCCCTTGCCCCACCTTCCAGGTGAGAAACTCCTAGGCTCAGAAGGTAGGAAAGGGAGACTTTACTTAGCATGAGCAGATTAGATGGTCTTCTGTCTCTGTTAAGATCTAAGTGAACTGTAGTAGTCTAGGAATATTTATAATATTTATAACTTGATTCCAAATTAAATTCCCCAGGTAATAATATCATTTCACTTAATACTGAGTTTGTTATGGAACCAATAAAAGACATTATAGGCGGTGTGCCTGTATTAATCTAGCAATCTATAAGTATTTATCAAGTGTCTTCTATTTGCCAGGTCCTGTGCTAAGTGCTACAGATATATACAAAAGTAAGATGGTCCCTGGCCTCAAGGCGCTTACTCTCTAATGGGGAAAACTACACATATGGAAGTACATTAACAAATTTGTACAAAGTAAATACAAGCCTTTTATTTATTTATTTTTTAGAGGGGAGCAAGCTAATATCAGGAGTGTAAACAGAACAGGAAAGGCTTATATCCCAACTTCCTATCAATTCATTGAGAGCTGTTCAACAAAATACTTGAGTGTCTCATGAAGGAGCATACTTTCTAATATCCAGAGATATTTAACCAATGTTTCCTGGAATGTTGCATCAAAATCTCTGTACTGAGTAAGAGATAGGTTCTATCGAGCATGGATGTCCATGGTTCTCATTTACCTAAATAGAAGCAAAGCTCCTTGGGGAAAGGGACTGTTTAGTTTTTGCCATTGTTTCCCCAAGGACACAGGGCCCCTTGCAGAGAAGCTGCCTTATAAATGCTTTGTCAACTTGAATTTTTATCTTTCACAAGTTTGGAAGAAATCTTAGATGAGATCTAGCTCAGTCCCTTAAATTTGCAGGTGAAGAGATTAAGGCACTAAATGGTTTAAGTGACTCATCCATAGTTACATGTTTTATTAGAAGAGCTGGAATTTGAATCCCAGTCTTCTCACGCGGAACATGGATTCTTCCACCATGTGAGGCTAGAAAATCACCAGATACAAGAAGACAGTATGACCAAATGGATCTGTTCTACTCACTTGCTTTCCAAATAGCATTCTGAAAAAGTTTTCAGCCAAGGAAGGGTGAAATTAGGAAAAATAAAAACAAAAACAAAAGACAAAAACAAACCTGATAAGAAATGCAAAGGCTGAGAGAACTCTGGAAAGGGTCACCACTTAAGCTTACCTAAACATTCTTTCATTGACTTCTTCTTCCAAATTTCTTGTATCACATAAGATCACCCCAAAGGAGCCCACAGGCTGGTGGGTAATTGGGAATATGTTTTGTTTAGAAGAAAGTCCAACCTTGGCAGGAGCTTCCTTAAGCATTGAGGAGAAAGGAAGACATGTAGCTGCACAGGACACAGACAAATTAACCACCTCCACAGCCTTTCTTGTGTCCAATGCCAATGCCTCAGTGGTGGCCAAATGGAAGTTGTTGCTATTGGCAATAGGTTTAGATTCAAAGTTTTCAAGGCATTGATAATTAATGTCATGGACCTCTGGGCTGTGGTTGACCACAATGACTTCATTTAAATCTACTTCCTGCAAAATATGGGACCCTTCTTGGGTAGGGGTATCATCACCAGTGGAAGAGCCCCTACTTTTCTCTGTCTTTGAATCTGGCCTGGCAGTTTTTATAGAGGGACTGCAGGGAAATTCAGGCACCTGATGGATGGATTTGGGGAAATCCTCAATGGCTGAGATGTTGACACTAGAAAATATGTCATTCTCAGTCTCTGAGACTTCAGACCCAGCCTTTGGATTCTCCAGTAGACCTTCATTGGAAGCATCATCCTGTATAGTATGTACTTCAGAGACATGCAATATGTCTAAAGTCAGTTCTTTGGTTTTAGCCATGGAGGAGTACTCAGCTCCATCAACATAAGATGTTTCATCCACCACTGGTTCACTATAGGTGAAACTACAATGCCCAAAAAGAAAATGTGGATTATTGTTAACTTCTGCTAAGTCCATGTAGCCCTTATCTTCCTGTGGGTGATCTGTGTCAAAAACCACCTCCACTAGTGAATGGAAGACTTCACAGTCATGCTTTGGGGGGTCATTTTGAAACCCAGGAACGTTCCGAATGGAATCTATGTTTCTGCCCTCGTCCTGGTTTTCTTCAAGGTATTTCTGAAAGTGCCCATCTAAGGTCTCTGAATTCCCCTGGTCACTTCTGGATATGTCACTGTCCTCTGCCAACTCCTCTGGGCTACTTATCTGAGGAGCCGAAACAGATTTAGTTAGCTTGTTCAGTGCCACCTCTCGCTCCTCTTCCTCAAAGGGCAAAGAGCTAATAGAGGTCAGGGAAGCTTGGATACCACTAGGCAAGCTTGTATTGCTTTCTGTGTGACCTCCTTCTAAGGAGTTTCTATGGATGGCATGCCTTCTTACAAGTTGGTGCAAGACCTCTCGGTCACTGGGTAACTCCAGAGCCCGGCTACGGGCTTCGGACCAAGCAACGGAGCTTGGTTCGCTTTCGATTCCTGAGTCAGAGATGACTGAAGAAGACCGCTTGATGGTCCCAGACAGCGCTGATAACACTTCACGTTCATTACTTTTTGGATCCCTTGGAAATGACTTCACATCCAATGGATCTCTTGGCGTTGGGCTCAATGGATCAGTCAAGTTTACTGGAAGATGCTTTAGTGACAGCAATGTGGCCTTAGTCTCTTGATTCCCCTTCTTGCTTAATTCACTTAATACAATGTTGTCTGTGAAGACAACATTCTCAGGGTTAGGAAATGCAGCTGCTTCGTCCGACACAGTCCTAATGTAATTATCTACAGGTGTCCTGGTCTCATAATGAGTAGCAATTACTAAGCCAGGTTCACTATTATCAGAGTACTTATTGCTGGGATTCATTTCAATGTATGTCAAGCAAGAAGCCAGATTGCTATCTCCAGCCACAGTCTGCTCAGATCTGCTCAAGTCTGGTACAGATTGTGTTAAGACAATTGGCCTGACGTCAGCTGCAGGATCATCTGCTGAAGTCGTTGGAGGCTCTTGAGGTAAACCCATTTCATCCTGGGATTCACCAATCGTCAAGTATACCTGAGATACTGAACTAGGGGGTGAGTATCTGTCCACGGATACTTCCCCACCTGTACCAGGACACAGATAGTCCATTTCAAAGTGGCGTGGTAAAGAAGTATCTTCCCTGAATGTTGTTTTCTCAGATGTTACATTAGTATTTGACTGCTGACTCATCTCTTTTTCCTTTTGTTCCACTTTTGGGGTAGTTTTAACAGGAGCAACATTTGGGGAAATCCCCAAATTGTACCCTAAAAGAAAAAAAAGTGAAATGTCATATTTTATTTAGGTGAATTGTAGAAACTTTTAAGTTATCAAATAGTCCCTTAACAAAAGTGTCTACATTATGGCTTCCCTCAAAGAGTTTGGTTCAATTCAATTAGACAAACATGGATTAACTGCTAGCAAAGCCTTATCACAGGAGAGAATGGAAACTTTGATAACAGAGGGTCCCCTCCTTCAAGGAACTAACTGTTCTGTGAGTCAGGAGGCCTAGAGTGGAGGTCTGGCTCTCAACTTTGTTAGCTCTGTGGTCTTTAAACAAGACACTTCATGTCTTTGTGGCCCATTTTCCTTATCTGTAACATGGGGATGATAATCCTTTCACTGCTGACCTCACATGATTGTCCTGGAGCCAAATCAAATAACATATAAGAATATGCCCTGCAACCATAAAGTACTAAAGAAATGAGTGCTGTTATACAGAATTGTGTTGAGACAGGAAGATCCAGTTCTTAAATTTTTAGTGTGATCAGTTACCCCTTGGAAATCACCAAATACTGCAAATCAGGGCTTGGTTTATTGTTTTGTTAATTGTATAATCTTAAAAGAGTAATGAATAAAATGTTACTAAGTGTGTCTCATACTGTTTAACACCACTCCCCTCTCCCCTGCCAAGGAGCCAGTTGTTAAACATTTACCAGCACACTCCTGGTTACAGAGGACATTTAAAACTATGACATGTTCCTCCAAGTTTTCATAGGGTCAAGAGCTACAAGTGACTTTAAAGATAATTTAGTACAAACCTCTCACTTTAGAGATGAGAAAACTGAGGCCTGGAGATGTAGCTTTCTAGACATTCACATTATTCCCCCTCATGTAAGCTGTGTTTCAGCCAGACTTCCCTATTTGCTGTTCTCTTTCCATGAGGTTCCATCCCCATCTCTGTGCTTTTAATAAAGACTGTCCCTTGTATCTGGAATACACCCCCTCTTCACACCTGCCTCTTAGAATCCCTATCTTCTTTCAAACCTCAGTTCAAACACCCATTTCCTACACTTGGCCTTTCCTGAACTCTCCAGTTTTCACTGTCCCCTCTCAATTATTTTTTATATTGTGTATTTACTTATAAAAGTGCAAGTTATTTCCATTCTCCAGTGAAATGTGAGCTCAACGGAGGCCAGAACACTTTCATTCTTCTCTCTGTATCTTCATTGCTGAGCACGGCAGTGGGTACATAACAGAAACCTGGTAATGGTTACTGAAGTGAAGTTAAGTGAAATGAATTTATCCTTCCAAGGACACAGAACTGGGATCCAAGATCACAGGACCACAGATTTAGAAATAGAAACACTGTAGACATCATTGAGTTCAAATCTACCTTTTACAAATGAGGAAAACAAGGCACTAATATATTAAGTGATTTGCCCATTGTCACATACCTAGTAAATGTCTGAAGTGTTATTTGGACCTAAGTGTTCTGGGCTCACAATCCAGTGCTCTGCACATCATTTCCCAATATCTTCTCTTACAAATCAATTCCAAATCTGAGTCTTTTCATTCCTTCCCTGTATACATTACATGGTCTACATGCCTTCCAGATGGGAAAAATCTCTAAAAAGCCAAAAAAAGTCCTATAAAAATGATGATGATGTCATTGTCATCATTTTTACAAGCAAGCAAAAGAACTGACATTAATAAGGCCCACCAGTAACTCATGAGGGTGAGGAAAAGAGCCAGTAGGCTTTATTCAAGGCATGACCACTAGGTGTCAGACAAGCACAGAGAACCACTAATTGAGACTCCTTCCATCGATCCCAACAAACACCAGCATGCATCTCTCTCTCTTCAGGTGTTACTTAGCATGCTTTTTTAAACATTACTTTAACCTAACCATTGTGGGGGCAATCTTAAAGAAAATAACATGCATTCTACTTGCATTACAACTTTTCACATTATCTTATATATTACTTTTTAAAAAATAAAAATAAAAAGCTTTAGCTAGGGCTAACACACATCGTGGGGGTAATTAGTTGATGCAGTGGATAGAACTCCAGAGCTGGAGTCAGGAAGACTCATATTCCTGAGTTCAAATCTGTCCTCAGACATTTACTAGCTGTGTGACCTTAGGAAAGTCACTTAACTAAGTTTCCTCATCTGTAAAATGAGCTGGAAAAGGAAACAGCAAACCACTTAAGTATCCTTGCCAAGAAAACCCCAAAAGGAGTCACAAAGAATCAGATGTGACTGAGCAGACACGACATGATTGAATAATAACACACATCAACCAATAAGGATTTATTATTGTTATTATTATTAATGCATAAATGATGTTTTTTTTTTCTTTTTGAATCGATGGGGGCACTAACAATAGTTCTCCTTTAGTTAATATGCTAGAGTTGTCTAAGCCTTTTTTTGTTAAAACTCTTTAAAAATGTTGGACAGCTATTCTAACCTTACATGTTAGGAAACTCAGACTGAGAGAAAAAAATAAACAAAACAGGAAAATTTCCATTGGAAGAAATCTCAGATTTAATAAATATGAATCAGTGATGTGCTAAAACCAGTGAAAATTAACTCACTTGAGCTGAGTTGATTGTTAAATTTTCAGTAATAACAATTACCCCTTGGAATTTAGAAAATGCTTCCAAACAGGGATTGATATGTTGTTTGTTGATTTTTAGACTTAATAAAGTGATGGAGAAAACATTAGTGACGCAGATTAAACTTAAGAGTGTGTTTTCTTTTTTCATTATGTATTTAACTTTGAGGATTTAAGTTTAAAATAAATAATAAATAATTTTTTTTTTGAAAAAGAGTGTCATACGAACAGTTATTTTTTTCTTGAAGAACCACTCATTCAACACCTTAGTGAATTCAACCCATGCTTGAACTGAAATGTATTCTGTAATCTCCCGGACAAATGGTTATAGAGATGGTGCTTGAGTAGTGACAAGGACTCACTGCCCCTGGAAACAACTCATTCTACTATTGAAGAGCCTCAATTATAAAGATTTTTCTTTCACCTAGCTTAAATCTGACATTCTCCAAATACTGCTCATTGCTCTCCTGGTTCGGCTATCTGGAGCACCAGCAGCACAAGACTAATGCCCTTCCGTATGATAGTTCTTCAAATACTTGAAGGCAGTGATCGTGTTCCTCTACAACGCTTTTTCTTCTGCAGTCTAAATATTGCAAATTTCTTCCACCTAAGCTCACATGATATTTTTCTTACTGTCTTGTTTTCCTGGTTCCTCCACTTGGGCTCCATTCCAAGTTGACAGTGCCCTTCCCAAAATGTCACCTACAGCTGAACATAATTGTCTAGATGTATTGTGAGGAGGGTAGAATACCACAGGACTACTTCTCCTGTACACTGTACACTGTCCTATATAACTACATTAGCTAAAGATCATGTTAGGTTTTTTTTGACCACTATATTCTGCTGACTAATCTTGAGCTTTCAGTACTCAAAAACATAGAAGTCATTTTGATACGAAATAATGTTGAAGCAGGTTTTCAAAATCTTGCACTTGTGACTTGCCCAACAATGGTTCTAGCACTGCATAGGCTTCCCTTAGCACCTGCTAACTTCCCTTTCTGATCCAACCTTCAGAGGGCTGTCTTCCTTTTAAATGGATATGTTCAGTGTTCCTATTGCCTATAAGGTAAAATGCAAAAGCCTTATCCTGACATTCAACACCCTCTTAAATATGTTTCCCATTTAACTTTCTAGTTTTATTTCATACTACTCTGCTTCATTCATTCTTTGTTTTGGTCAAACTGGCCTTGCCATCCTTAGATCCCATCCGGTTCACTCCCACCTTTCCAAATTTCTTCATACTACCTCTGATAACTGCAACGATTTGAGAGAATTCTTGTCTCTGATGTTCACTACCTAGCAGACCTTGAGCAAGCGACTAAATTTTCATCACTCTGGCTCTCTTTGATTGGCCAATAATAGGTCCCAGTCCTAACCTCACTTGCTCATTGTTTGTGTTTTGATGGCTGAATGAATGTAAATGGCAATTGTTTCTGTTTGGCCAGAAACTCTGAAGGTGTTCCCCTCCCAGAATGAGTCTTTTGTGAAGGCAAACTAGACCATCTTTTGCCTCCATTCTTATTTAGTCTTTAATTACTACATGGATGTTGCCTCAGACAAACTGAGACCTGGGAATGACCTTAGCTTAAAAAGTCCAGGGTCTCTCACTACCACTGGGGCCGTGGCTAGTTGTCCTAATCTATGTCTTGCCTCTGGACTCTGATGACTCCGGAGGAGAGAATGAGGCTGATGACTGTGCGCAGCTCTGCCTCACTTAAATCCAATTTACTTGCCAGTCATGACATTACAGCCCTGGTGTCATTGGTCCTCTTTGAAAACAAAGGATGAGGGGCAGTGAGGTGGCATAGGGGATAGAGCTCTGGCCTTAGAGCTAGGAGGACCTGAGTTCAAATCTTATCTCAGGCACTTGACACTTACTAGCTGTGTGACCCAGGGCAAGTCACTTAACCTTGATTGCCTCACCAAAAAAATAAAGAAATAAATAAAAACCAACAACAACCAAAAAACCCACAAAGGATAAACTTTCATGGACTTAAGTTTACTCAATTTATAAAATAAAGGGGTTGGATTAGAGCACTTCTGAGGCCCACTGTAAGTCAGTGATGTTATAGCAGAAGATACAATTTTGTTCCATGAGCAGATACAGTTAGGTCTCTTCTTATCACATATGCTACTGTTTGGATCTTTGTAATTCGCAATACCTTTAGCTCTTTCTACAGCCCTTGAAGCCAGGTTATTAACTCTGATGAATAGTTTGCTCTTGATTTGAAGTTGTAACAAAAACCTTGACATGTGAGAAAATTTTGAGAACTTTAATAATATTGAAGCCCCAGACTTTCTGCACTAAACTAGACCACTTGAGTGATAGAGAGGTTTCTCCATCAGATAGTTTACCTCTGAGCGACTGCTTAACAAACTGAATAAAATGTGTTCCTAACAGAGCTGAATCCTAAGCCCAACACTGAAGAACTTGGCTTTTTTATCTCAACAGTGTCCGTGACTTACCCTACACCAAGACTGTCATGCCCTCAATGGCAGATTCTGTGTCGGTTTTCATCTTTGTTTTACTAGTGCAGTACTCATTAGATAGTAGTAGATAATTGACAAATATGTGTTCAATGAAAATGAATTGAGCTACCTGTAATGGGATAGAAATAATGATCGATGTTGATGATTATAAGAAGAAGATGAGAGAGAATATGGTGATTCTCACGATCCATTAACTTAAACGCCAACCTGAGTCTATATCTTTGCTAGTCCAATTACTGCTACCTTAGGACAAAGTTTTTTCTACCTCTAACAAAACTATTTCAATGGACTCATAATATAAGTCTTCTTACCTCCCACTATCCTCACTCTAATCTATTCATCCATCTTTCATTGTGTATGACCAAATCACTCATTTGTTCAAAAACCTTCAGAAGTAGGGGGCAGCAAGGTGGTGCAGTGGATAGAGCACCAGCCCTGGAGTCAGGAGGACCTGAGTTCAAATCCAGCCTCAGACACTTGACACTTACTATCTGTGTGACCCTGGACAAGTCACTTAGCCCCATTGCCTAGCCAACAACAATGACAACAACCAAAAAAAAAAAGAAAGAAAGAAAGAAAGGAAAGGAAAGGAAAAAAAAACCCTTGAGAAGCAAGGAAGCAAAATGCCCTCCAAAGTCTGGAGTCACTATATTTATCTTACTCTTCCATCAGACTGGGTTGCCTTGCAAACATGCTCTGAACTCTCCTATGTACTATTCTTATTAAATGGAATATCCTCTCTTTTTTCCCTGTTGAATTACTACCAGTCCTCTGAAGTCCAACTCAAATTCTTCCTTGGCTCTATTGCTTACATCAGGGGTGGGGAAACCTGTGGCCTCGAGGTCACACGTGGCCCTCCAGATCCTCAAGTGCAGCCCTTTGACTGAATCTAAACTTCACAGAACAAATCCTCTTAATGAAAGGATTTGTTCTGTAAAACTTGGACTCAGTCAAAAGGCTGCACTCAAGGACCTAGAAGTCCACATGTGCCCTTGAAGCTGCAGGTTCCTCCCCCTGGCTTAGACATTAATGACGTTCTTCCTTAGATATCAAATAGCAATTTGTTCTGTAATGCTCTTAATATCATTACTATATAATATCACTTACTAAGATTTTTCTTTTTTTGTGGCTTATACTACTTAATGGACTGTGAGAGAAATAATTATTAAATAACTAATTATTAATATTGGGGAGACACAGGATTTATGTCTCTCTGAAACCATATTCTCTACTGGGCCAAACCAACATCTGAAGGACATTGCTGATAATGAGATTGGATTAACTTCCTCCTCAATCTTGTTCAGAACCCACCCAGGTGGGGAAGGCCATTGTGTTCTACTCATGTTTGGGTGGGGATAAATGTTTTGATTAGATTGAGCTAGGCTGGGGGTGGTTTGGAAGTAAATGATGTGATCAAACTCATGAACCCTAGCCCTTCATTAGAATAGGTCCACCTCTCATTATAATAGTCATTCTCTCTCATTACTTGTTAACCAATCAGAGTCAATCACCACCCTCAGGAACACTCATTCTTCCAAGGGCATATTAAATATTGAGTGGGTTCCCTGAAAGGTCTTTGACATTCCAGAGTGTCACTGATCCCTTTTATTATTACTAGCATGATTAATAAAATGATTAATTTCGAAGAAATTATGCCTCTTGAACTTTTTATATATCAAAACTGCAAGCTCCAGTAGGACAGGAACTATGTCTTATTATTTTTGAAAATGTCTTCTCCACTATTTTGTACTGGGCTATGCATTTAAAGAATGCTTGATAAATGTATGTGGAGGGGCAGCTAGGTGGCGCAGTGCATAGAGCTCCAGACTTGAAGTTCAAATTTGACCTCATACACTTGACACTTAACTAGCTGTGTGACCCTAGGCAAGTCACTTAACCTAGACTGTCTCACCAAAAAGCAAAAACAAATAAATAATTAAGTAAGTAAGTAAATAAATAAATAAATGTATGTGGATTCATTACATAAGTTATATAACTGATTTCTTGTTCTTTCATTGTACTGACTAGTTATTTTAGTGATTTGACCAGAATTCATTGCTTGGGGTTGTCAGAAAAATAGTACCTTTGATCTTTGCCCTTTAAATCATTTAAATTTAAATCTTTGTCCTTTGTGCCCTTCTAATGTTACTAACCTTTCCCAGGACATTCCACGTATCTATCCTCAAAAATGACTGGTAGGGTGTTCCAGTCTCCATCAATATCTAGGCATTCTGCTGGGAGGGGAGGCATGCTGGTGAAGTATTCAGAATTCCGGACGTCCAAAGCAATCTGACTCTGTCTTTGGATCCTGAGAAATGCATTACAAAGACAGGAAAGAGGTAAACAATTATTCATGAAGCAGTTTGTAGTTCACATACTGTTTTCCTTTCTGTAGTCCTTCAAGGTAGGTAGTGAACATATCAGCATCTCTGTTTTGCAGATGAGGTAATAAAAATTTTCAATTGGTCATACACTGCTATTTGCAGAGCTTGGTGGTAGAGCGCATACACACCATGAATTTCTCCATTATTCTCCATGGAATACTCATTTTAAATTCTTCAGTTATTATTGTATTCCATATCTCCCTGCCATATGTCAAGATCATAGGCATCATAGAATTTGGAGTCAGGAGAGACTTCAGAGGTCATATCACCCAAATTCTTCAATTTACAGATGAGAGAAATGAGATAAAATATTTCCCCATGGTCCCAAAGGAGTAAGCAGTAGAGCCATAATTTGAACCCAACTCCTGCCTCCAAAGCCAACAATCTTTGTGCTATTTCACTGCTAGAAATGGAGGTTTTCAGAGCATAGATTTGGAGGGAACATTAGAAGTCATTTAACCTAATCTCGCTTATTGTCACAGATGAAGAGACTATGGCCAAGAAAGGTAGGGCATTAGGCCAAAGTCACACAGAAAATAAGTGGCAAAGTTAGTATTCAAACCCAGGACCTCTGACTCCAAATCTAGGACTCTTCAAACTTGACCAAGGTCACATAGTGAGTGGTGAATCAGGACCTCAAATTCAGGCTTCCGACTCCAAGTTCAGTGTTCTTCCCAGTATAACACACATTCTAAGAATGGGCTAAGTGGGTCTAACTGCCACCTCGTCAGTCCTAGAGGGAAATTCTGAAAGGTGTCTTTTCCCCTTTGTGAATTTCAAAACCAACAATTCAATATATCTCTAGCATGTTAAAATTGTATCTTGTTCTGGTCTCCCTGACCAGTCCTACCCCTTCTAATTATTAAGTAAGTTTTAGAAGGAAATTAGGTTGCAAAGGGGAACCTAGAAATCATGAATAAACCATTGCCAAGATCAAGGAACATCATTTATAAACTGTATCATATATTAACTAAAATTCACATCCTAGTAACCAGGAGAAACCGTCTAGGCACTGCTTGTCAAGGTTGCTGGTCCTATGATATGTAAATTGCAGATAACATCTACTCTTCCACAGTTCCACACCAGCAGAATATTAAAAAAGATGCTAATAACTTTGGAATGATGACTTTGGAGTTTTACCTATAACTCTGAGATGATTTGGATACGTTAATAAACTAACTCCAATATGGCATAGATAGTTGGTCTGTTTCTCCCCCAATATCCTAGAAAAATGAGTCCTCCAACTCTTCCCTCTGAGAACTCTTCCATTTCCTAAAGGCTCATGCTGTTCAAGCCCTCTGCTCCAGACTCTAATCTATGGTCATGTGATGCTGTTCTCTGCCTCTTCCCCTTCCCATCTTCCTTTACCATCCCATTCCCTATCCCCATATCACATTCTGCCTCTGTAATATTTTCACCACTTATCTCTTGTGCCTTATCAAGTGTGAATTCTGCCCCATTTCCTGCTGCCAATCATGGTCTTTCCTGGTAAGTGTCCAAAAACTAGGCATGCCTGCCCCTATTTCATAAGTTCACAAGTTAATTATCAACTCATCCAGCAAAGAAAGTAATTTTCTTTTCTATATTTTTATTTTTCTGAAATGTGGAGTTTGTTTTAGGCAGCACTCAGATCTGTGGAACAAGCTGATTCCCACACTAGGAAATTAATAGTCATGCCCTCATAAACCTGTTAATTCCTGTCCTTTGCAACATATGTAAAAAATTATTTTCCCATCCCATTATTGGAAGGATTGGACTTTGAAATGCATTTTCACAAGTAGGGCTATTTTTGTGCTTAATCATCCACACATTGTCTCTCTCAATTTGACTTGTTAACAACTACCTGCATTTGTGAAATAATTGCTTTCCATATAGCCATGTGGTCAACAAAAAGAAGCAACGTACCCACAATGGGTACTCAAGACCCTATGTGATTTGGTTCCAACCTTCTTTTCTGTCCTTCCTTCTCACTTCCCTTGTACACAAACCTTTTTCTTCACCAATACTGGACTAGTTACCTTTCCCTGAAAAATTACGCAATACTATTTCCCACTTGCTTCCCCCCTCTCAACACACACATGATGTTCCTTTGCTAAAATGGTTCCCTCTCCCTAGAAGCCCATTCTCTCCTCATTTCTCCCTGTCCAATTTCTACTCATCCTTCAAGGACCAACTTCCACATATATAATTCTGATCTGTTCTTCAAGATCCAGATGCATCTTTCTAAATCTTAACTATCCTTAAAGACCAAGGTAGGCCTGGATCATATTTTAAGGCCCAACTCAAATGCTACTTTTTCCTGGAAGCTTTCCATGATTCTGGCCAGATGTAATCTCTTTTTCCTTTGAATTGCCTGACAATTTTTTTTTAACATTCTGATTGGACTTACATGCTATACCTTCAATTATAGTTATTTGTGTCCATATCTTAGCTCTCTTACTGTACTCTAAGTTCCTTAGATGGATACTCAAACTGTGGCCATCCATGTCTATTTTCCTCATGGTTTCAGATTTTTTTTTATCTTGTCCTACCCCTCTTTCCAGATTTTAAGTACCACTTTTCCCCATTGTAATATAAGCTCCTTTAGTGTAAGAGTTGACTATTTCACTTGAATTTTTATTGTAAGTACCTAGCACATTTGCTGATGTAATAAATGCCTGAAAATCCTCTGTCTAACCTATCTAGATATTATCCATCCATCCATCCATCTATCTTCAGCCATATGTTCTAACCCAGTGATATTATGACCACATATTTTTGGGAAATTATAACCTAGCTTTCTTGCTACTCCTTCTGATCTACTGTGTGTGTGTGTGTGTGTGTATATATATATATATATGTATATATATATATATATACATATATGTATGTATATATATATACATATATGTATATATATATATACATATATATATAAATTAGATATTACTTTTGTACTGAGAGAAGAAAAAAAAAGACTCATTGAAATGAATGAAGACAACAAGTGTAATGGAAGGAGTAGTAGACTGGGAATCAGAAGATCTGGGTTATCTTGGTCACAGTGAGTCTGGAAGGACTGCCTTCTAAACAGATGTCAAAACAGGAAAGGGCTCTAGTTCTCTAAGAATATTTAGATCTTGGCAGGCCAAAGTTCCATCGCCATTCCCACTCTATTTTTTTTAATAGAGAAGAAAATTCAGGTATTAAAAACAGTAAGTAATTTGCCCAAGGTCATAGAGGTACTTACTAGAAGAGTCAAGATTTAAAATTAGGTCCTCTGGCTCCAAAAACAAAATCATTTCCACTATATCATGCTGTTTTACCTCCTCTGAACAAAGTCCATCAATATCACTGTTTTAACATCAACTTCATATTTTTTTAAAGTATTTATCAAGTTCTTATTATGTTTGGAATTAGAGGCAATGAAGAAGAAAATAAAGGGCTGTCCTCAGAGTTGGGAAGTGCTGGGTTAAAATTCTTCCTCTGACATATTCTTTCTGGGTGATCCTTTGACATTAACTTAAACACTCAATGGCCGAGGCAAGTCTCTAAGACTATAAATTACAAGAAAGTTGGCAATCTGAATTCTTGTAAACAGTTTGAACAGTGGGCAGTCTCTATCTATGTGAAATTATGTTTCTGGGAAACCTAACCTCCCTCCCCCAACTCTTCCAGAAATAAAATAACAAAGTGGAGTACTCCGCTCGGTGTTGGGGAGATACCAAGATAAATCAGTCATGCTGCCTGTCCTCACGGTACTGATAATCTAACCACAGGATGGAAACCGTCAATTCATTTAGCATAGAATTACAATGCTAGAATGTTGGAGGTAGAAGGGACTATAGAGAAGATTCATTCATTTTAGAGGGGTAGAAAACGAGTGTGAGGAAAAGACTTCTCTAGGGTCACACAGTGAATTAGTGTCTAAGCTGGAACCAAAACTCAGGACTCCTATTCTCAGTCTTGACATCATTGCCTCTGAATCTGGCCAAAGGGCTATTATCGTTGTTGTTGCTGCTGTTGTTTTCAGCATTATTGTTGTTACTATCCAAATTAAATTACTTAAATGCACCATGTAGGTAATACACCTTCTCCTTTGTGATATGGCTTTGATCTGGTAAGTTGTTTTCCTTGCATCTTTCCCGGATATTCTCCAAAAAGAAAATGACTTAATTTTTTTTAGAAATCAAAGCCTTCACAGTAAAATATTGATAGGAGCATTTTTTCTGTGATAGCAAAGAATTGGAAACCAAGTAGATGTCCATTTACTGGGGCAAGGCTTAACAAACCGTGGTCCATGAATGCAAACAGAGTTATTAGTGCTCCGTAAGATATGATTAATGTGATGAGTAGAGAGAAGCATGGAAAGACATATATGAACTGATACCAAGTTAAGCAGAGCAAGACAAGCAATACATACATGACTACAAAAACGTAAATGGAAAGAACCACAAGAAAAAATTTTAAAAAATGAATGTGACAAAATTTTAAGGAACAATCATAGATTGAAAGAAGAGATGAGAAGACACTTCCTCCCCATTCCTTTGTAGAGAGATGGGACTTTTTTTTTCAGACTTTTGCAATCAGTTATGCTGATTTTTTTCCCTTTCCTTTTTAATTTTTGGCTTTGAAAAATAGTGTATTTTTATATGTAATGGCTCTCTTGAAGAAGTAAAACTGGGGGAAACTATATTGGTATAAAATGTATTAATAAAACTCATTTTTTAAAAGATCAAAGCCTTGTACTATTAATTATTATTTTTAAATTACATGTCTCCTGACTCTAATACAACTATAAACCTTTTAAGGACAGAGTCTGCCTTTTATTTGGAAGTTTGGTTGCACACTGGATAGAGCCCCAGACCTCAGATAGTTACTAGCTATGTGGACTTGGGCAAGGCACTCAACTCCCACCTGCCTCAGTCTCTTCATCCATAAAATGGAT